GCCTCCATGGCCGCCATCGCCGCGCGCTCTGCGCAGCCGCACATCCCAGAATCCTCTGCTCGCGGGCTCTGACCCTGCGGACGACTCTCAGCTGCTTCCACTTTGAATGAATTAGTGCAACAGTTCTCAGCTGCCGCCGCTCACTGACAGCTGCCCCCACTCTTCCCTATCCCTCCACGAGCTTCTTCCCTCGGGGTCCAGATTAAGTGCTCTTTACACAGAGAACCTTCTCCAGCCATTGCCCCAACACCCAGCGCACAAACCAGCCCCTACAACTCCGGCTAAGCCTCTGTAACTGTTAGGATCTGCAACCCATGTTTGAGGAAGGTATACGTACTCACATGCTGAGTTTTCGACTTGGAGTGGGCACGACTGACTGAGATCTCCGTGCTGCTGAGATGTGCGGCTTTGCATATATTCTCCTGATGACTTCTGAGGAGAACTGACATCTCAAAACGTTTAACCCAAAAAATGCACAGATACCAGTGTTCATCACTCCTTGTTGAAAACTTTTTGTGGCTGTCCGTGACTTTCTAAATCAAGCCGCAACCTCTTAGCTTGGCTCTTAAGACAACTGACTTTCTAGCCCCTTCTCCGAAGTCTCATCTTTGTTTCCCTCCTCTCCCCTAGACGAACTTGTCACCCTAGACAAAATGATCTATGTGTTGAAATCGTGTTCCTACCAATGGTCATGGCCCATTAAGCCTCCTCTCCCTTGAAAACCCTCGTATTCCACACTTCTCCATTTATTTCCTATAGAAATACCTCAAAAGCCCACCAAGCATTATATTCCTTTGCATTCCTCTCAGTCTAGTATAGTTCAGTGCAGTCCCTTTCTCCTTTCCAACCCAAAGCACCGACTTTCGATATCACATAAATGCCTGGCTGATGGCACCTTAAAATGCTGTTTAATCCAAAAGTTTGTTCTTTCTTCCTTGATATATACCCTGAGTTTGGCCTGTCTTTAGATGTAGAAGTATCCAGCCCATTTTCATGCTAAAAGAGGAGGGTGGCAAAAAGGAAAGTTTGGTCCAGTTCCTCTAATACAGAATTCCTCCTCAGTCTAACCACGTGGGGCTGTGACAGCGTGGTGTCTTCAGCAGCTGGGAAGTTCCTTGGAAAATAAAATGACGGCTAAAAGTATTCTCTGAATGGTCTTATCCTGTGGCAATTTTGAAAATATTAACAACTGGCCTTGCATGGGCAACAACCAATCAGAACAGATTTCACTTAAACAATCAAAAAGGCCACACTAGTACAAACTGGAAATCCTTTCTAATTTCTGCTTTCTCATAAATAAATTCAAAGGGCCACATTATGTCCTCAAAGAATCATGGGATTTAAATCTTAAATCAGCTCAACTAGATAGAAAAAAAAAAAATACCCTTGGGGTACATGAGGTGAGTGGAGGAGGGGCAGAAAGGTAATTTTCCAGGTAAGTTGCACGTGAATTCTCAGTTCCTTCTGCTCTCTACGGCAGACGAGTCAAGCTCTAATTAGTGAAGACCCTTCCAAGGATCACAGCAGTTGGTGATTTTACCACCATTCCGCAAGTAGTAAATAGGAACAGACTAGGAATTAGGCTACAGGGTCAGAAGGGAAAGTGGACAGATTCTGCCCTGGAACTCCATGTCTAGTCTGAATGGACTTGTTTAATCTCCTGTAAGTAAGGTAACTCATGTCCCAGTCAACTGGTTTGATATTCTTTTTTCTCTGTCTTTCTACCTTTCTTTTTGTCCCTCCCTTCCTTTTTCTTTCCACTGAGATTCTCTTTGAGGGGATAAAAAAATGTTAGATCAAAATTAGACTTACAAATATAAGTACCAAAGAAATAGTTGGTATACCAATGAAGAGAAAAGAAGAATCAAATAAGTAGAGGACAGGAAATGAAGTGATAATTAAGACTGATAACTTCCTAGAGCCCAGATCCACAGGTGGAAATAAAAATGAGGAAAACTACAGGAATCCAGGAATGTTGTGAGCCTCTAACAACACATTGGAAATTGGAGACATGGGTAGGAGATGAAGGGATTGATGGGGACTGAGCCTTGAACCAATTAAAAAAGTCAGGCAGGGATGAGATTGAGAAGAAACCCTTGGGAACACACAGAAAAAAAAACTCATCGATAAGATTCAGGTGAATTTGATTTTTGAAATTTGCATTTTGAACCTAAGGAGACTCCACAACATAAAGCAGAGGAATGAACCTAACTACTGTATGTCCAGAGCATGAGGCATTACCCTCAGGAGTACTGCTTGGTTGATGCAGCAAGAAGCACGTTATTCTGATGCAGGACAAGATTGTCTCCAGGGCTCAGCATATTCCCAGGCTCCCACTTTTAACTCCGATCACATCCTCTCCCATCTGAAAGGACCTTAGAGTCATCTAGATGAATCATGCTCATTTACAAATGTCACTGAGACTCAGAGAGTTTAAAGAACATTTTCAAAGTGTATAGCTAGTTACTTGCAGATGTAGCTTGCAAACCCTCATACTAAACCATAAGTAGGAAGGTTGGACTCTTTCCATTTGTGATGTGAAGCTAGCCCCCAATTTTCTTGTGCTTTCTCACTTTCCCCCTTTCCAACCCTAGCCAAACAGTTCTAATCCCCTGTTTATTTAAAGTCCTCCATCAAATTTTGTACAAAGTACATCATAAGATGCCCCAGGCTTTGGAAGGAAAGAGCTTCTGGGTGTTTCCTAACATGCCTGAGTCACAACCACTTTTATTTAAGGTGTTTTATCTTGGTTCAAGTGGATGTTTTAAAATAAAAATTGCTCAGATGAAAGTCAAAGTTTACTTAATGAGAAAGATGGTGATGGAGATGGGGCTTTTACAAGTAGGTGCTTTCTGCTCTTTAAATAGCCTATTGGTGAGTCCGATTCTCAAAGCACCCAAGAGTTACTCATTTGGGAGAATAGCTTTTCTGAAATCCTCAACTGGGATGGGACATCAGAGCCTTATAGCACAGACTGTACCAATGAAGACCATCATTGGTCTGTACTAAACGTAGCCGAAAAGATGGGTCTGTCAGAGTGGGGTTGGGTGAGGACTCTCTCAGGGCCAGAGAACTCAACAAATAGAAACAAATTAGGAAGCTCTGGCATTCCCTTAAGCCCTTCAATGATCTTATAATCTTGCTTCTGTTTTCATTTCCTTTTCAATCTACTGGGTACCAGTTTTTGCCAAAGGAGCCACCAACCAGTCATTTTGCACACTTTAAAGAAAAAAAAAAGCCTGATTTTGTTTTCTGGCCCCAAACAATTCATTATTGCAGAGGCAACACAGTATGACCTTGTTCTACCTTAGAGGAAAATGGATTCCTGCCTATTGGTTTTTTGAGGGAAGCCTTTGTTGTAGGAAAGGATCTTAGCCATTGTGGTTTAAAAAAACAAAGGTTAGATTCAGATCTCTAGCTGTGATGGGCATGGAGTTTGTACGTCTGTTTCCAAACTGCCTGAGTAGGGAGAGGTGCCAAAGAGAGCACAGCGGGCATGGGATACTGTGGCCTAACTTCCTCTGATGGAAGATGGTTTAGGTGGTGGCCACCACTGCCTGCCAGAGGAGACCAAATAGTTATGACAAATTCAAAAATGGTTATCAAGTTATCAACCCCACTAGGGTTCATGAAGGAAAGAAGAGCGTGGACTGAGGTACTAAGAATGTATGAAGATGACCCCAATGCAAAATCATTACGCAGAAGAAGGCCTAACTTTCAGGAAAGTTGTAAAATCTTAGCAAGGGATTCGCCCCGCAAACCCATTTTACTCCTGTTGTTAACCAAGAAATGTTGATAAGCCTGAATATAGACTGCTGACGTCATTTTAGTCTGCCAAGTAGAGTCATGATTGGTTATAAGTAGTTTTTAAACAATCCAATTGGACATACATTATATTCACAATACTTTTATAGAACTAATTCTACAAAATGTGACGACAGGATAACCACGGTCTGACAAGTCACTTCAGGACGGCGCCTACAAGGTGGAAACACGACTACATTGGCTCTGCGGGGACTGGACAGAGGTGGAAGCTCATTTTGCCTACGCTGGTCATTGGAGTACTTGGTGGACGTATGTTTTCACGGTGATCTCATTGCTTGGCTCTGATCTGATTTGCACTAGCCTACTAGGTACCACAGCGTCATGGCCCAATGGAATAGATATCATGACACTTGGGGAGAGATTTTGGTTCGTTTGGTTTCTTCAAGTGTCCACAGTTTACATTTTTAAGAAAATGAAAATCATTAACACATCCATGCTTCTCCAGAGACCCTGACGATTCTCTCAGTGATGGGTAATTTTGAAGCTGAAAGTCATTTGGACCAGAACAGTTGCTGGGACGATGTTACACTGAGCATGCAAGCAACAGCCGAGCTTGGAGGCATCAGAATTGTATCTGATGGCTAGAAAAATCTTTCTGACCACAGTTTGAAGTGGTGGATACATTTGATTTCACTGCTGGTAATTTTCAAAGGCCTTTTCTAACAATCTGTATTAAAAGCATTCATTGCTGTCCTTTGGTGGTTATTATTTTTTTATGTTGCTGTAACAAGTTGTGTGTT